AACATACATTTTTATTGTAACCCCCCCCCAAAAAAAAAAAAAAAAAAAAAACTTCATGACACTGGAAACTTCAGAATAATTAAATATTTTTCTCTATTTTTTATATTATTGGAAGTTGGCAATTAATGTACCATATTACAGACAAGTAAACAATGAAAGGGAAATTAATAAATATGAAAGTGTATTACACATTTGAAACATAGAGTTAATCTAAAACCATCTTTGTATTACAGTGTTCTTTATATAAAAGGCATCATTTGCAATATTTGTAAGAATCTCTTGAGCATCCGCAAGTGGCTCATCAGTCTCTCCCATTTCTGGTGGGCCTATATGATGGAGCATGGCTATGTTGCGTAGAACTACACCGGCCATTATGATTTTCTTTGTAGTTTCCAGCTTTGTACAAACAGGCTGGGTGAGGCAAGCAAAGCGCCTTTTCAGAATTCCAAAGGCGCGTTCAATCACATTTCTGGTCTTTGTGTGGGCTGTGTTGTAGCGCCACTCCTTGTCAGTTGTAGGTCCTTGGACAGGTATGAATAGGTAACTACGACAAGGGTACCCACTGTCTCCAAGTATCCAGGATGATTTCCCTGCTTAAGGATATGGCACACCTGAGAGTTTTTAATAATTCTGCTATTATGCACAGTGCCTGGCCAACTAGCAATGGTGTTCATGAATTTCAAATCTGCATCACATATACCCTGCGTATTAATGGAAAAGTATCCTTTCCGGCAACGGTAGAGTTCTGCCTCATTTCCTCCTGGTCCTCTGACGGGGAAATGTGATCCATCTATACAGCCAATAACTTCAGGCATCCCTGCTATCGTATGGAACTTCTGGATAATTGCAGTCACATCTCTTGCATTTGGGAACTTGAGGTATTCTGAGGCTAAGGACGCAATACCTGTGGCAGTCAGACCAACAAACTTGCACACAGAGGTTCTTGACATCTGTGACCAATCTGCCATGCTCAGTTCAAACCTTCCAGTTGGCAGATAACGTAAGCATACCAGGAGTTTAAGCTAAGGTGGAACACTTAAACCTATTGGAACAAAAATGAAATACTGTGTAATGTAAGTTTCTCCTCTCTCTCTGTACACATATTTGTATGTATGTATGTATGTATGTATGTATGTATATATATGTATATATATATATTTATATATATATATATATATATATATATATATATATATATATATATATATATATATATATATGTATACCGTGAGTGTAAGTGTATGCGTACATATGTACACATTTTTGTCCATGTATATATATTACATGTAAATTATGCATATTGTATATTCAATTGTAATACATATTTTATTATAAATATTAGTAAATTATACAATACTTACACTATATATATCACTTTTCAATTAGAATGAGTAATGCCTACCTCTCCTTTCTTCCTCGTGGCAACCGCTGATCAATCTTGTCTATAAGACTTTTTGTGCAGATTTGGTCAACCTGCAGCGTACAATAAACTCCTCATCCTAGAGCTACAAAGTGGTCTGCACGATCCTGTGCTGGAGCCGGACTGCATCCACTTGCTGAACTTGCTCCATTTCATTAAGCTTCATTAATGCATACATGACTGTTGCCTGTACCCCACAATAGAAATATGAAGATATATAGACAGATAAATACACATATAGACACACAAAGGGAGAGAGGGAGAGGGTGAGGTGGATAGGGAGAGGAGAAGGGGGAGAGGGGAGAGGGGGGAGAGGGAGAAGGGGAGAGAAGGGGGAGAAGGGGAGAAGGGGGGAGAGGGGAGAGAGAGGAGAGAGAGAGGGAGAGAGAGAGAGAGAGAGAGAGAGAGAGAGAGAGAGAGAGAGAGAGAGAGAGAGAGAGAGAGAGAGAGAGAGAGAGAGAGAGAGAGAGTATGGACATAATTAAATAATATTTTAAGAAGTACATATTTCAATGAATGTCTTGGTATTTGTAATTATTTTCTCTCTCTCTCTCTCTCTCTCTCTCTCTCTCTCTCTCTCTCTCTCTCTCTCTCAGTCTCTCTCTCTCTCTTCTCTCTCTATATATATATATATATATATATATATATATATATATATATATATATATATATATATATATATATATATATATATATATACAGTACTGATTGGAATATCAAGAGGGCTATAACCACCTTTAGTCACACAGCTTATTTATTAGAAAGTTATTTCCTAAGCAGTGAGTAACACCGTCTTCAAAGTGATTTCCCAGATGACAGCAGGTGTCAACACCAGTATAACGAGAAAAGGCTAATTAAAGTTGAAATACCGGGTGCTGCGGGAAGTAGTGTTGACGTTTCGCCGGTATAACTCTGTAGGGTTGATAAAAGATAAAAAGAAAGAAAAAAAAAAAAAAAAAGAAAGAAAGAGAGAGAAAAAATATATATATACCTTTTTTAATCAACAGATTCATTTTAGAGTTGCTTATACTTTTACGTTTGTCTTTAGCTGCTATATTGATAAGTCAGGGGGTATTTTTA